TCTGGGCCACCGGGCGGTGCTGGGAGGCGCCAGCCGAGGGTGGGGCCTCCTTTTGGGCACCCCCCAGCGGCTCCGGGTCCCCTCCCAGGCCAAAAATATTTGCATGCTTTTTTCTTTCTTTCTTTCTTTTTTTTTTTTTTCTCCTCTCTTTGCGAGCGGGACTTCCTGATCGCTCTCCATTGGCTGCAGGTAGGGCCGCCGCACGCATCTCGAGCAGCCTCCAGTCGAGCCTCTTCCCCGGCGCGCAGGGCTCGCTTGGCTCGTGTCCTGCGCGCCACATGTAGAAGTTGCGCCCGTGCCCTCGGCGCCTGGGAAAAACCTCCGGAGCGGCATTCCCTGCCTCGGCCCATGCTGGATTTCTGCGCCGGGAGGTGACTCGGGGAAGCGGAGGCGACCATGAATGAGATGTCGAGTTTCCTGCACGTCGGGGACATCGTCTCCCTCTACGCCGAGGGCTCTGTCAATGGCTTCATCAGCACCTTGGGGTGAGCGAGCCCCAAAGCCCTCTTTGGATGGAGTGGGGGGGTTATTTACCCCCTTGGGGGGTTATTTACCCCCTTGGGAAGGGAAGGGAAGGGGTGGAGGCTGCTGCACAGGACCATGCCCAGAGCGGCGTGGGAGGCTGCGCGGCCCCGTGTCCCGTCCTGTCCCGTCCCCGGGGCTGCTGCTGGGGACAAGATGGTGCCTGGAAGGGACCTGGCACTCCAGCTACCCGGGCAGTCCTGGCAGCTTCTCCTTGCGTCCGGGCTGGGGGGGACAGAATGGGTTTAAACGGCTGCCAGGGAAAGTTTGCAGTTTTCCAGGGAACTGGGCAGCGTGAGGGGTCGGTGGGATGAGGAAGAGGTGGTGCACAAGTCTGACACAGGGACTTAGGCAGCCGCAACCCTCCCCGTGGGCACGGGGTGATTAAAGGGCTTTTCCAAGCGCTTTCCGCCCTGTTTGCACGACCGAGGCTGCTCTCTGCTGGGACGTGCCTGGCTGCCACGGGGCTCCGGTTTGTCCGGCTGCGTTTCCTCCAGGCAGGAGGCATCAGCCCAGGGTGGCCCTGGCCGGTGCTGCGGGAGCTGAGTGGCCCTGGGGGTCCAGGCTGAGCCACCTCCTTGCAGCCCCCTGGATACCTCGGCCACCAGCGCGTGGGTCTGGGGGCATGGGCAGAGACTTGGGGACCTGTCCCTTGTCCCTAGTGTTTCTGTGCAAGCCGGGAGTGCTGCCAAAGCAGCAGGTGGGCAAAGCCAGGATGAGACCTTTAAATGTGCCCTTCTCCGGATGAGGGCTTCTCTCTCTGTGAGCATCTGAGCTCCGGTGCCAGGAGTGTCCGTGTCCCGATGTGGCGAGCTCTGCTGGGTGCAAGTGGGCTTTTCTATGGGGTAAGCCCTAGGGAATTACTGCTTATGTGCTTGGGAATGCCGCTGCTCCCAGGGCTGTCCGGCTCCCTGACCCGACCCTTGGCCCGCAGCCGTGTGCGGTGCCGGGGCTGCTCCGAGGAGGTGGGTCGGTGCCCGCGGCTGCCCCACGCTGCGCGCAGGGCTGAGCCCAGCCAGGAATGTGCGCTTGGATGGGGTTCCTGGGCCAGGAGCTGCCTGGCTGTATAAGCAGTGAATGCACTTGCTCCCACACGCCTGTGTGCAGCCGGGGCCCTGCATACCTTCGCCTACGCGCGCAGCCTCCGCGCGGCACACGCAGCCTTTAACTTCATGTGCACCCAAGTCTGCGTCCGGGCGGGCTGCCCCAAACCGTCCTGTCGTGGGCGCAAATGTCTCTGCGTGCCACCGTGGAGCACAGGGCTCCCCTGCTGCCCGTGCAGAGCACGAGCCCGTCTGCACGGGACCTCTGGGCACGTGCGTGTGCTCGGCCCGTGGCCCTGAACATTTCCCCAGGGCTGTTTTCGGAGAAGTCTCCCCGGTGCTGGCCTGCTTTCCCAGGACAGGACGTCACGAGGGAGGGTCTATAGCCGTGACGGCTCCACGCGGAGCACCCTCTGAGTCTGCCCAAAATCGGGTGCAGAGGGTGATGCAGTCGGAGCTGGCGCTGGATTTTTAGCAGCAGGTCCCACTAGCTCTCCAGGAGCCAAATCCAGAGGCGTTTTGGTATTTGGAGCACCAGCCTCCTTGTAGCTCTGACACCCACGTCCACCTTTTGCAGGGTGCTCCTCATCTCACTTATGAGCAAAAGCTGGGCTTCCTTTGAGACTTGAGTGTTGCCGCTGGGTTTTGGGGCCAGCCCCACTTCTCCGCAGCTCCATTTCATCCAGGTGTTTTCCCACCTTTGCCACGGCTTTCCCTTGTGGCCAGGGCCTGGGGAGACCCAACCACACCTGAAACCGCTGGGCGATAAGGCTGGGGTGACTCACTGAGCGCTCCTGCTCGCCGGGGGACCTCGCGGGCTCATTTGCAAGGCAAACGGCTCGGCAGCCCCGGCCCCGGCGCTGCACACCCGGCTGCGCGCCCTGCGGAAGCACCCGCCTTCCAGCCTGCAGAGAGAGGGGAGGAGGGTCCGGAGGTGCCACCGGGGCTTTTAGGGCTCCATCTGTCCCAGGTGTCCACGCTGGGGACAAGCAGCAGCTTTTGGAAGAACATTTGTTGGGGACGTGCGGCCCCGCGCTGCTCTCCGTCCTGCTTGCAGCTGCAGCAGCTGCTTGCTTGGGACGGGACTTGGCTCTGCAGGCAGGTTTGCTGAGACCAAGGAGGTCCCTTGGCGGAGCAGGGGGCCAGCACGAGCAGCGTAGCAGCATCAGCCTCCTCGCTAATGCTGGTCTCAAAAAAGTCTGTCATCTTAAGTGGTCGTTTTCTTCCTTTTCTGAAGGGAACGTGTGGGGTGTGATGGAGGGGGCTGGCGCAGAGGCCAAGCGGTGCCGCAAAGGCTCCGGGCAGAAACCCTCCCGCAGGGCTGGCTGCAGCGGGCAGGCACTTGGATGGAGGAAAAATGTCCTCCTGGAGGGTGGAGAGTCCTTGTGTTGGGCTGGAGGGGCCCACCTGGACACCCAGGTGTGCTGAAAAGCTGAAGATGGAGCAAGCGGCCTGGCCTCGCTCTGCGGCTTCGCTGCTGCCAAAACCAGGTGTCCCCAGTGCCCCAGCACCCATCGGTAACCCCTGCCAGGTTTGCTCCGGGAAATCTGGTTCTTCTGGAGCTGGATAAGGAAACACCTCTTTGAAACGGGCCCGGATCCTGCTCTGGGCTGGAGGCGTCGCCGCTGACCTGGGCGCGCTGCGGGGTCTGTGCCAAGGAAACCTGCAGCCAAGAGGGAAGGGGAGCTCGGAGTCCTCAGCCTGATCCCTGATCCTCCCAGTGTGCTATTCCCACACCTCGCGTCCCCCGGAGCAGGAAGGCGCTCGCTCCAGGGCTGTCCCTGTCCCTTGGGGACCGCCAGGGCTGGTGGCAGAGCCGCTGAACAGCAGCTTTGGTGGCTGCAGCGGTGGCTGCAGGTGGCCTTGCAGGGTGGAGCAGTTCAGGGAAATGCAGCTGGTTAAAGGGTAACTGCAGCGCTGCTGGGCCGGGAGGAGTTGGCGCCGGCGCACGGGAGAAGCGCGCAGGGCCGCGCGCCCCGTCCTCGTCCCCATGGCGAGCAATTTCGTGGCCACCTGCATCCCCTGTCTGGTCCTGCTCCGCTTCCCGGGGGGGAGCGGGACGGTGGCACCGGTCCATTCCCATGGCAGGGGCCGGCATCGCTCTCAGGGAGCCCTTTCCACATCTCCCTTCTCGTGCATCCGGCTCAGCTGGCTGCCATCCCCGGGGAGGGCCGGGGCCGTCGGATCCATGCGGATTCCAGCGCCGGGAAAGCCGCTTCCCGTGCGCGGCGGGGGCGGCTCTGCCTCGCCCCAAAGCGCCCTGGCCCCCCTCCAGCAGATCACTTTGTGCTCGGTTTCAGGCATGCCGAAAGCCCCACTGGAACCGCTCGCGCTGACTTGCGCGGTTTAAAGCTAACCAGATGCTCGTCTGCGTGCAGGATTGGGACCCGACCTGCCCGGGGCAGCTGCAAAAGGGGCAACGTAGCGGGTTATCGATGCACCAGCCTGCGGCTTCTCCGCAGGTTTTCTCCAGGTGTCCGTGCTCCAAGAGCCAGTGTTTGCATGAACACCTGGGAAAGGCCGGAGACGGCACCTCCGTGCCCGGTGTCCTGCTCGGAGCGCAGAGCTCCTGCAGCTCCAGCAGCGGAGGCAGCTCTGCTCTAATGTGGGTTATTTAGGCAAATCGTGTCCTGGCCCCAGCAGCAACACAGGTGACTCATGTCCAGCACGTCAGGATCCTCTTGTTTTCAGCAGTTTTTTTCCCTGAAGGATGTTAAGCTGCAGTATCAGTTTAAAAAAAAACAACGCTTTGCACTCCTGCAAAGTGTGTAATCCCAGGATTAAAGACACTGAAACTGCTTTGAGATCATTAACTAATGAAGCCTTCCAGCCTGGCAGGTCGCTATCTCCCATGCCGCGTTGTGGATCGGGCGCGCTGGGCATGGAGACGTTGCAGGCAAACTCTCCAGCCGGAGCTGGTGTGGGTGGAAGATTCCTGAGTTTTGCAAAGAGTCGCTGTTTACTTCGGCACTGGAAATGGGCCGCGCGGGTCAGCTGCTTCCTCAGAGACCCTTAGCCACGATGGAAGACCTTTTTTAAGTGCATAAAGGAGCTTTCTGCTACTTCGGGTGCTGGAGGGAATGGGGCACTCGCTGCTTTCCTGCTCGAACTCGGCACCGGGAATCGCTGCAGCCCCCGGCCCTGCGGATCCCGGTCTTGGAGACGCGGGTGACTGCGGCCGCCTCCGTCGATACCCCAGGGCTCTCCTTTGACTCCAGCAGCGTTTGTGCAACCCCGGTTTGTAAAAGCTCTGTTAGTGCAAACCAAAACAGGCGGCGCCGGGCAGGGCTTTCACGTGGGTACGGCCCGCGGCGCCAGCTGCCTCCTCTCTGCGCCGGTTTCCCTCCTCTTTCTTCATCTCTCTCTCTGCCTTTCCAAGCCTCAGCCCCACAGGAATTTGGGAAATGCGCCCAACTCCATCCCTGCTGTCTCATCCCATGGAAAAGGCTTGTTGGGTCTCGAGTTTGGTGCCCCTTACGCTGCCAACCACAAGTGCCAAGGCAGGTCCTGTGCAGTAAAATGCTCCAAGTGCTGTTATTGGAAAGCGGTGGATTTCTGGGTTTTATAGTCCTGGGGCGATGCCGTGTTGCTGTTGGTAGCCACCATTTTACATACGTGACTATACGCTGGGCACAGGGCCTGGCAGCCCCGGCACCAGACTGGATCCGAGCTCACTTCCTTTTCCCGCGCCTCATCCTGCCTCCCATCCCAGGGACCTGGCTTCCCCCCGGTGCTCCCGCCAGGATCACATCCCGCCTGGGTTCCTCGCTCCGCTCACGGGCTGAGCGGCGGCCGGGATCCCGCCTGGCACGGGTGGGGATGGATCCGCACTTCCTGGCCCCAGGCAGGGAGGAGGCTCCGCAGCGGGAGCCGGCAGAGCCTGTCCTGCCGGAGCGCCTCGTTCCCTTGGAAGCTCCGCAGTGATGCTCGGCCATCCCACGCGCCGGGACAGGCTGGTGCGACCCGGCCCGTCCGGTTCCTCACCTTGGCAGCATCCCGCTCATCCCAAAGTGGCAGGGAAGGTGCACAGCATGTGGGGCAGCACCTGTGGGATTTTGCTCTGCATTTGGAAAACAAGGAAAGGGGGATAGGGAGGAGATGCAATGTGTCCAACAGGCAGAGCTGGCACCACCGAGGAGGTAACGGTTATTAGGGGGGTTCCCTGGAGCCTCTGGCCGTGCTGTGCCCCAGTCCTGGGTGGAAGCGGAGCCCATTTCTCCTGGTGAAATGGTGAGATGGGGACGGGGACGGCCAGGGCAGGGACCCCCTGTGCTCGCTGCCTTCTCACCCTCTCGCCCCCGCGCAGGCTGGTGGACGACCGGTGTGTGGTGGAGCCGGCGGCCGGAGACCTGGACAACCCGCCCAAGAAGTTCCGAGGTGAGACTGGACAACCCCCCGCACGCAGCCCCGTCCCAGGCCGTGTCCCTAGGGATGCCCACGGCAGCGCATCCCAGAGATCCCGCGCATCCCATCCGGAGCGCGGGCAGAGGACAGGGCGGCTGCGCCCGCAGGCCGTTTCGCTGCAAGCCCGTTAGCGCCAAGCGCTAATTACGGCCGCACCTGGGAGGGAGCGGGGGATTAAGCTGCGGTTTGTAAGGCAGGGAGAGGCGTTAAAGCCCTGCCCGGCTGCCCGGAGCGCTGGGCCCTCCGGAAAGGGGGATGAGTCAGCGGAGGGCCAGGAATGCATCACTCTTCGCGCTTCCCTGCGTGGTTTTGCAAGCCCCAGGGCAGGTCTGCGAGGTGCTGGCAGCTCCTGGAGCGGGACAGGGGCCGAATACTCAAGATGGGGCTCCCCACGGGAGCAGGAGGCATTACAAGGAAGCGGCTGCTCCGAGCCCGGAGCGTCTCATTCCTGCCCCGTGTTCCTGCCCCGAGCTGCCCTTTGCACTGTGCCCCGTGTGCCACCGCGCTGCAAACTGCGGGGCAGGAGGCTGTTCCCAAGGAGCCCCCCGGGCTGGTTGGTTCCTGGTGCCTGTTGCCCCCCGGACATCGGCGGATATTCCCGCGGACGGGAGCAGCTGGAAGCAGCTGTGGGGAGGTCTGTGCTCCCATGGCCGTGCCGGCAGGTCCCCGTCCCAGCGCGCCGCTATCTCCCTGCCCGGACATGGGCGGGCGTCAAATCTCTTTTCCAGACCCAGATCTGGTCTAGACTCTGCTCTGCTCCATGCAGCCCCTATCAGGATATCCAGCCGCTGGTTTTAATGGCCGGAAAAGTAGCGGTCTCCCTGCTCGATAGCTATCGCTGCGAGCAAGGTAAAAATAACAGACCCGTTCTGTTTCCCTGCAGCAGCAGCAAGAGGCTTAAGAGGATTTTAATGTGTGGCTGCCGTCCCCACATCCTGTGGCCGGTCCCTGCCCTATCCTGCACTGCCGGAACGTGGCCACAGGTCCCGGCTCCACTGGGGATGTGGGGACATGGGGCCTTGTCTGCTGCTGCAGAAGGGGCGATTGCTCCTTCTGTGCCTCCGTGCTGCATCCAAAGGGTGATTTGAGCATAAGCAGGTTTTGGAAATGCTGGGCAATGCGGGAGCCTGTCCCTGCCTGGCCCAGCGGCCTGTGCGGTGCCTGGGCTGGGCCCCGAGAGGCGCCTGGCGCCTCTTGTATTTGCTTTTCTCCTGGTTCCTTCCCTCCCCGCAAGGCTCTTCCAGCCCTGCGTCCAGGCACGTTCAGGAAAGGCAAGGAAGGGGGTTCGATCCCGGGCTGGACGGCAGCGGGGGGCCCCGGGCTGCCCGGGCGCGCGGGCAGCGGGTGCCGCAGCCGGAGCCGCGGAGCCCCGCGCCGCCGGACGCCCCCGCCC